CACCATAGTGGGGCGTAAACTTGTCTTAAGGACAAAGTGTCCAACACTTGCCTCGACTGTATTTTCTAGGTTTTTCTAATCCATTATATCATGTTCATTTTACATGGGTTACTTATGTGCATGCATTACTTTGATATATAATTGCATGAATTATTTTTTGATTTTATATGTGATTTAGTATAGCAATTAGACCCTATTTTCCAACATTTTCTTTCAAGTACTAAACACTTCAGAAAGATATGTGATCCCCAAGCCAGGAAGCAAAACATGCATTGACTTCAAAGCAACATTGTTAAGTATTGGTTCGGTACTGAGGTGATTTTATAAAAAGTGGGTATAAAAAAAAGCTGAGCTCAAAAAAATGTTTGGTAAACACTTAAAAACAACTTATTTTCACAGTTTTGGGTGAAAAAAACTGAAAACGTGAAGCTGCAAAAATGAGTTTATTCTCACAGCATAGCAGAAACAATTTTTTTTCAAAGTATAGCAATACCAAACCAGCATGCAGTTTTAGTTTCATGAGCACGTATGAAGTACAATGATATGTCCAAAGACAATCTTCGGCGTAGCAAAATTAACAGTTCATCTACTTAAGAACAAGTTCTACTAATTACTTATGCCATGTGTCGAGAATATTTATTTGGATTATGTAATCAGTCTTAACTATAATTAAGTCATATGGTGTCAAACTTGTTTTCAAACATTAGTGGCTTAAAGGGTTATAAATGTATAATTTCTTTTGGGAAAACTGTTTTAAGGAATTATGGAACGATAGAAAGAATGTAAGCCAGAATGTGAATTGTAAACCTGGAACTCGAGGTTGAGTAGAAACTGTACTCGTTCAGCCGCCAAGTCCATCAGTTCATCTTTAGATTCACCATCATCTTCTCCATTTTGGTCTTGTCCGCATATATAAAATTCACGTGGGAGGATGAGTAGCATGAAAAAGAAGGGTATCGAGCAATTCAAAGTAAGCATTTGGATTATGAATCTAAATTGATTGCGAAAAGAATCCATTCCTGAAATCATAGCACATAAGAGTATTTCTTGAAGTTTGTTACCAGTGTGGTCAAATTCTTAAACATCATGCCTTTGAAAGATGAATGGACCAATTGTGTCGATACAAAATTTCGAAACATAGATTCAGTTGTACAAAAGATCTCTTTTTGTGAAAACAAAAACGAAAAACTGAAAATCTTCTTAACTGATAATATCCTATTCATGGATTTAAATATCGATATTATCGGCGAAATATCGCCGATAATATCGATTTTTCGGGTAATGGATATTTAAATAGGTATCCGTGTGGTTTTCGTCAAAATATCGCGATATTATCGATAATATCGAAAATATCGCGATATTTTCGATAATATCGCGATATTTTGGAAATATCGAGATATTTTGTTAACCGTGCTACTCGGAGAAGAACGCCGGAGCTGCTACAGCTCCGGCCGACCACAAACAAGGGTTCTAGACCCCGATCTAGGTATCAAACAAAAGCACGAGACGAGAGGAGTGCGTTTATACCTTCCATTTGTCGTGAAACAACCCGTGGTGGTCGGAAAACCTCTCGACACCCACGGTCTCGCCGGAGATGGGTGCGCCTATTCCCGGGCTGATTCCGTGCTAAATCCTTGGTAAAAAGGACAGAATAACCTCAATAATCACATCCAAGCAACAAACCAACACGGAAAGAGAGGGTTCGAGGCTTACCTAACCATAACCCATGAAGAACTCGCCGGAGATTCTTGGGGTTTCGTCGAGTTGCGCAGCGACGGGAAGAGAGAGAAAGAGAGAGAGAGAGACGACGGCGTGTAGAAGGTGGTGACGATGCCGTCGACGGAGTACCACGAAGGGTGTGGCGTGGGTGCTCTCGGGTGTGGGTCAAAGGGTGAAAGAGTGAGGGTCTTCGAGAGAGGGAGAGTGAGTGCAGAGAAGAAAGAAGGAGAAAGAGGTCACGGGGTGGGGAGAGAGAGAGATACGTGAGGGTGCTAGGGTGCTACCACGTGGTAGCTTGAGAGAATTTGGAAATCAAGATGAATGGTCCAGATTTGGTTAAGATAGGGGACTAAAACGATAATTTCATAATTATTTGGGGAACCACGAAAATATATAAAAATTTGGGATTGGGTTGTTACAATGTGTCTGTGCGTGTGTGTGTGTAGAAGTGGGGTGTGTGTGTGTGTTATCCGAGAGAAGAAAAAAAAATCCAAACCTGCTTTCAAAATATCCAGGCTATGTGTAGTCTGTGTGTGTTATTTGAGAGAAAAAAAAATAAAATATATAAAGTGTAAAATATTGTACTAATTCATTATATATAATGATTGTGGTGTCTTTAAACTTTTTTTCATTAATTACTACATATTTTTTACACTCACAATGTTTGCCAGCTCGCTATATAATCAATTTAAATCAGTTAAATCTATCATGCAATGCATTTCATTCTAATTTTTTGTGATAAACTAATAGATAATTGACTAAATAAACATCTTGCAAAGTTTCAATTAAAATTTCCAAGTTTTTCTTACAATTTCCGTGGTTTCCATGTAATTTTTATCGATATCGATATTTTACCGATATTTCCATCGATATTTCCGTGTTTTCGGACTACCGATATTTCCGATATCACCGATATTTTCTTCCTTGATCCTATTAGAGGCTCACCTTGGATACATAATTTGCTTTCATCTTTTCTACTTCAACTCCGACAAAGCCATCTCTTTATCGAGCAAACTAAATCCAGGTTGCTTAAGAATCTTCCTCTGCTTCATCACCATCCTTACGTCCACAACCTCTTCCCATTCTCCATCAGCAGCATAGATATTTGATAGTGTAACAAAACCTCCGGGTCTCTTTAACTTCATTTTGGCCGAATAGCTTCAGCCATCATTTTGGCAAGATCTCATCATTTTGTCAATGTCACTTCACTTGCCTGCACTCCTCCTTTCATTCTTTCAAAAAGTTCTATAGAGGAATCAACCATACCGTACTTAGCATAACATCCAATCAACTCATTCCATTTTGTATTTCCCAACGATAGCCATTTTGTTTTTAATTTGTAGTTAAAACTAAATTTGTAAACCAAATGATGTGTCACTAATAAGAAATAAGCATGTTAATCAACACTTGAGTAATTCAATCAACAACATCTACATCATCTGGTTTACAAAATTTAATTTAGAAATTTAATTTCTCTAACATTATCCGATAAGTAATAAGGAGTGTTCAACCCATCCAATTGTCTTATTTTCTTACCCTTTTAAAAGTAAAATTATTATTAACAACTTTGTCCTTAGAGAATGACAAACCTAATATAAAATTACAAAATAATTAACCAGCAATTAAGTAAGGTACTTATGACGATTTATACCTAGTATATGGCGGCAATGTCCTTACATATAAGGTTTGCGTATGTTTTGGGCACAAATTACAGGGCTTGAGTCTAGATGCACCTATGTTGTGGAAGTTTTCAGGTCGACGGGCCGAGGGCCCACTCTAACAACACCGATATTGTCCCCACTTAACCACCTGCACAATCCTCAGGTGTGAGATTTTATCACAAAATGCCTCGATGTTAGTTAGAGAGGGGTATTTCTATTTAAAGCACTCTTCTCTTCTCCCTCTGTCCGATGTGGGACTGGGGGTTCCTACACTCCCCCGCACGTGAGACCCCACTTATGGGTCACACGTGAATTTCCACACATCGGCAACCACGTGGAGCCATGTCGGGACTCACCCAATCACGCGGGGCCAATGGGGACCCACCCAAACACGTGGCATCTTTGGCCTACGTGGACAATCACGCGAGGCCAACGGGGATCCACCCAATCACGTGGCAGTACGGGCCCGCCTCCTGGCTCTGATACCATTTGGAAATTTTCAGGTCGACGGGCCGAGGGCCCACTCTAACAACACCGATACTGTCCCCACTTAACCACCTGCACAATCCTCAGGTGTGGGGTTTTATCACAAAAGGTCTCGATGTTAGTTAGAGAGGGGTATTTCTATTTAAAGCACTCTTCTCTTCTCCCTCTGTCCGATGTGGGACCGGGGGTTCCAACATATGTAATGAGTCCTTCATCTTCACAAACGACTAAATAAACGTTCCATCATGCCAGACTTGCGGTTGGAGATTTGCCATTCGGGCAATGGATGCAAAAAGTCTTTGTCAATCTTAATGTGCATGCAGGCCAATTACTTGGAAGCTGCCTTCTTTGAATGCTTCAAAGAGATGAAACATCAATGCTGTTCTGAGTCTAGTTTTAAACTCAAGTCTTTCCTCTTGTCCATGGCCTACAACAAGCATTCTTTTCTACCCCTTTTTTTGGGTCGAAACCTAACTAGTCCAATCTAGACTTGGAAACTCTACAGCTACTCTTTTTGTAGAATTTAGAAGCTTCTAGTCACGTCTCTTCCCCACCCATCACTTCAATGAAAAAGAAACCACAATCCAGATGCATATCGTAAATAAAACTCATCATGATAATAATTAATAATACACATGATTGAATTCAACCGATAATGCATTAAAGATTGCATAAATCATTGGCCATGATAAATTATATGTACCATATTATATCGACCCTGAAACTACCAAGTATTGGTCAACTAAGAAGCACTTTAAACCCACCAAAGGGTTCGTGCTTCAGAGGCGCTTAGGCTTGTAACACATCGGTGCCCTTCGATACCTATTTTACCTTCCTTGCAGGTTGCTTCGCTAGTCCACCCACGACCAGAGCACAATTGCGAAGGTCTTTACACCACACTTTATGTCGACTTGAGGTCCACCCGGTTTTGTGCATCAACCTTGGGACCTTCTGTGGGAATCAACACTTCGAATCCTACTCATCTCGAACATGAAACACCAGGGTAGTTTTCCGGCTTACTTTACAAGGTTTGAGAGGTTCTGCAGTAAGTGAGAAAGCTTGGAGTTTTTGAAGTTGCTATTGAGAAGAGTGGAAGAACGCGTTAAGCCATAAAAGAATGAGCAAGGGTTTATACCATTGATAATTCCTCTATTTATTCGGACATTATAAGAGAATTATTGTACATTCGATACTACATGGTACATTAAGAACTAAAGAGTATTTGAAAATAAATAATACACAAACTTTTGATATACAAAAGAACTGGATTATAATTGGAAGCAGTTAAAGTATTGAACTTATGAAAGAACATGGATCGGGTGGAGCTGAGACTTCGACAGTTCCTTCAAGCATCAATGCGACTTTCTTCATGGTAGGTCTGAGCGACGGATCCTCCTGAATGCACCATATTGCAATCATCACATACTTCTCCATCTTCTTGATGTCATGCATTGCCTCATCGTCATTCTTGAATAGCTGGTGCAGATTATTCTGCTTATAGCAATCGTATGCCCAATCAGCTAGTATCACTTTATCTTCATCCTCTGCCGCTACCTCGAAATGCTTCCTGCAGAAAATAATCTCTAACAACAAAATTCCGTAGCTGTAAATATCAACCTTGGCCGTGATAGGCAACCTATTCAACCATTCAGGGGCCACATAACCTTTCGTTCCCCTGATTCCGGTTGTGGTTAGAGTCTGGTCGATTTTCAAAAGCTTGGCTAGTCCGAAGTCAGAAATTCTCGCCGTGAAAGAGTCATCGAGAAGAATGTTTTGAGGCTTGATGTCACAATGTACGATTTTTCTGCTGCACTCCTCATGCAAATACAACAACCCTCTTGCAATTCCCAGTGCAATTTGCCTTCTCTGGCACCAGCTTGGCCTCAACTCTCCAAAAAGGAAGCTCGCTAAAGATCCATTGCTCATGAACTCATACACAAGCATTTGGTGCTCTCCCTCGTAACAAAATCCAAGCAGCTGGACTAAATTTCTGTGGTTTGTTCTGCCAATAGCACTCACTTCCGCTTTGAATTCCAAATCATTTTCTCCGACCTTAGCGACTAAGCTTTTGACAGCAACGCTCTTCCCATTATCAGGGGCTAAAACTCCTTTGAAAACTATTGCAGAAGTACCGCGTCCTAGTTCTTCCTCGAATTCGTTCGTAGCCTTTTTTAGCTCCTCATAAGTGAAATGCCTCAAATTCATGTCAGAGATGACTCGATAAGGTTGAATCAACTTCGTTTTTCTATAAGAAATACGAGAAACAACCAAATAGGTTGTTAATAGAAAAATCAAGTTCAGAAACCCCGAGCTACTCAGGAGCACTGATCCGATGAGGATCAAAGTTGAGCGATCTTTCTTTTTTGTATTTGGAACTTCAGGTATCAAAGTGTAGTTGTCTTTCCTTACTTTGATGAGAGCTTTTCCACCAACATTCGGGTCCATCCTTCCGTTCGAAAGAGGAATTCTCTTCTTTTCACACTCTCCATTCTTGAAAATGGCGACGGCACAAAAACAATCATTGAAGCAATTCTGTATGCACCAATCCTCATCTACCGATGTAAATTGCTCATAACCACCGCCAGACCACTCTGTGTTTTGCATCTCACGAAATTCAAAACTCTCTGTCTCAGGCGAGGCCTCATCACAACTTTGTGAAACAAAGTTTTGCTTGCATCCTTTCAAGACATCATTGGGATCAATTAATGTGTAGCCATAAGGACATTGGCAAGTTGGTCCTTCATCATTATAGCTGCAGAGGCTGTTGTATCCACATGCACCACTGCCTACGTCTCCTTCAATTGTTAAGCAAATATTCGAAGGTTTGGAGGTCAAAGGGGACCAAGCCATGGGGCTTCCGGCACTTGAGGCAGCGGCAGCGGTTTTAGGATGAACAGAGTGCCTCAAAACTCCGTCATGCTCCAGAGTTACTTTATGGTAGAAATTTTGCATGGAAACTGTGTTGGATGATACCATATTCAGTATGCTTCCGTTCTTTGCAATAAGGTAAAGATAGCCGGACTGATTGAAGATGACCTGAAAGCCGGTATACATAGTCATGGTTGCATAGTAAGCAAAATTGTTTGTCGGCAGTGGGAATCGCGTTGTGTAAAGCAAGAGATTTCCGTCAGATTGTAGAACAAACATGAATCTTCCCCGTGAGTAATTTGTTGCCGTGTAGCGTGCAAAGAGTACGTCATTCTGATTTAGAATCTGTGTAGGTAGTATTGTATCCGTTGGTTCATCAAAACTCTCCCACACATTGGATGAACTTCGATCCGCCAGCACAAAATTTCCAGTGTCTAGCATAGATGCATAGGCAACTCCGGGACCAACAGATTGAGCAGACCATATGCGCTTGCCGGTTGCATCTGTTGTGCGGAAGCGTCAAATATGAAACCAATAAACTAATACGGCAAAATATGACAAGACAAATAATCCAAAAGACACAAGGATTTATACTGGTTCGGCGTAAGCCTACATCCAGTTCTGAGACGGCGAGGAAATTCCACTAATATCAAAAGGAGATTACAAATAGAGTTTTAACTCTCAAACCCAAATCTCACATACACCCAATAGCTCTCACTCTCACAAAGAACAAATGGAGAAGATGGAAACATATACCAAATTCCTTCTCTCCCAACAGCCACAAAATGTAGTACAATTATCTTTGGTTGAGTGATCACTAACAAAGGGGATTACAAACAAAGGGAAGAATAGAAAACAGCAACCTTTCTATTTTTCTCTCTAATCTGCCATTTTTCTTTTCTCGGCTTCTCCTCAAACATATAGCAGCTGCTGCCTTGAAAATACCAAAAGAAAAGCTCTTGACTTTTCTTCCCTGAGCCAACATCCTAACAAATTACATCATTGCTGCCTTTTCTTCTTTTTTCTTGCTTTCGGCTGCACTTCTTTTCTGCTACCTTTCTGCTGCTTTTCTGCAGCTTGTCTTCTGACCAAAAGGCATGAATTGCCTTATATAAGGCTGGTGCCTTTTTAATTAATACCCTAGCTGTCATGTGGCTTTCAAATGGGTAACAAAAGGCCAAACCTATTTGGGCTTGAGACAAAAAAAAACTAAAAGGCCCAAGAAGTATTGAGCCACAAAAAATCCAACAATCTCCACCTTGGCGAAATTCCCGAAAGCAACTCAGAGTTGACTCAACAATCATCATAAGCACCCAAAATACGAACTACAGACAACGGAAGCTAAAATCAAATTCACCAAACTTTCCGGTACTCATAACAATTTCCACCTCGACTCAAACTGTACCAAAGCCAAAGAAAGTGAACATTTCTCTACCGTCTTCTCCAAATTTGCAAACCATAAGTGCCTTGATCAAAACAAAAGTGATTCAAACGAAGAACTGAAATTCTTCAATATCACCAACAAAAGATCAAGCACACCATACCAAAGTTGGACACACAACGAACTCCACCTGCTCACAAACACCATGGTTTTAAACTGCACCAATAGACTCATTCACATAGCATGGCACATTCTCCAAGTCAAAACTGATTACAAATTTGGCAACAAGGTCTCACATACCACATACAAAAAATATGCCCTTCACTCAAGTTTACCATCATCACATGAGCACCAACAGGACAACCAAAATTTCAAATTCAAATAATCAGCAGGAGATCCAAAACCATACCTCAACTGGAGTCTTCAAGAAAACTAATTGCAGATGATGGAGACCAACAGACCAAATAGCAGTGGCAAACAAATCCAACCAAATGTCCATAGACCAAAGTTAGAAAGCATATGACTTGCCTTCTACAAGAGGGTTCCACACAAATGTTCTGCAGTGCATGTGGTGTCTCCAAAATAGTGTGGTGTCTCATTAACCAAACTTGCAGAACTTAACAAATTGGCCCTCACTAAATTCAACTTTACCAAAAAAGCAAAACCATACCAATATCCAAAACAATAAAAACACCGATGAAGAGCAACTGACATAACACAAACATACATAGAGGCTACTAAGCAACTTTCTCAAATCATAACAAAGAGTCCTTACAAACTCTTAAATCTCCATATGTAGCAGAGAGATTTAAGAGTACCCACAACACCAGATTCCTTTTTTTTTTTTTTTTTTTTTTTTTTTTTAATTTCAAATCTGGTGTAGCCAACTGTCATCATAGAACAAAGTCGAAGTCGTCATCGACGACACATTCGCACTCGCACCAGCATTATCTTTCAGTTTTGGGCAATCAACTTTCCAATGCCCTTCCTTGCGACAATAGTTGCATGTGTTGTTTCTGGTCTTAGACTTCGATCTCAAATTTCCTTTATTACTCCCTGAACCATATTCCCTATCTCTGCCTCTTTGCTATCAAAGCCTCAGAATGAGAATCATTCAAATTTCCAAATACTTTGTTCTTTAACTCTCTTGAATTCAAAGCGGCTTTTACATTCTCCATACAAATAGAATCTCTCCCATATAACAAAGTTTCAACAAAATTCTCATACGAAGGAGGTAAAGAACACAACAAAATCAAAGATTGATCCTCATCATTAATTTTATTATCCATACTTTTCAAATCCATAATAACCTTATTAAACTCATCAAGATGGTTTTGAATAGGTGTGTACCTTCAGTCATACGGAGAGTGTACAAACGTTGCTTCAAATACAAACGATTGGTGAGGGATTTGGTCATGTATATACTCTCCAACTTAAGCCACAAACCAGCTGCAGTAGTTTCATTTTCCATCTCACGAAGAACTTCATCAGATAGTGATAACATAATTGCACTATGTGCTCGATTCAAAGCATCTTCTTTTTCTTCAGCAGACCAATCTTGTGGCAAGGCTTCCACACCCTGTAGCGCCTTAAGCAACCCTTGTTGAACTAGCACAGCTCGCATCTTAACCCGCCACAGGCTAAAATCATTCCTCCCATTGAATTTTTCAATATCATATTTCACCGACATATTCGAAGGTTTCATAGACATATTAGTACAAAGCCCCAAGTCGAAACCCGGAGCTCTGATACCACTTGTTGTGCGGAAGCGTCAAATATGAAACCAATAAACTAATACGGCAAAATATGACAAGACAAATAATCCAAAAGACACAAGGATTTATACTGGTTCGGCGTAAGCCTACATCCAGTTCTGAGACGGCGAGGAAATTCCACTAATATCAAAAGGAGATTACAAATAGAGTTTTAACTCTCAAACCCAAATCTCACATACACCCAATAGCTCTCACTCTCACAAAGAACAAATGGAGAAGATGGAAACATATACCAAATTCCTTCTCTCCCAACAGCCACAAAATGTAGTACAATTATCTTTGGTTGAGTGATCACTAACAAAGGGGATTACAAACAAAGGGAAGAATAGAAAACAGCAACCTTTCTATTTTTCTCTCTAATCTGCCATTTTTCTTTTCTCGGCTTCTCCTCAAACATATAGCAGCTGCTGCCTTGAAAATACCAAAAGAAAAGCTCTTGACTTTTCTTCCCTGAGCCAACATCCTAACAAATTACATCATTGCTGCCTTTTCTCTTTTTTTCTTGCTTTCGGCTGCACTTCTTTTCTGCTACCTTTCTGCTGCTTTTCTGCAGCTTGTCTTCTGACCAAAAGGCATGAATTGCCTTATATAAGGCTGGTGCCTTTTTAATTAATACCCTAGCTGTCATGTGGCTTTCAAATGGGTAACAAAAGGCCAAACCTATTTGGGCTTGAGACAAAAAAACTAAAGGCCCAAGAAGTATTGAGCCACAAAATCCAACAGCATCATTGAGCATAAACTCGCCACCGTTCGAAAGCTCAACTTTGGATCCCTCTGGAACTAGATTTTCCCCATTGGCTGACCAGACTATAGTTTTATCTTTTATCTTATCGAACCAAATGGCTAGTAAGAACCCTTCTTTTCCGATTCTTTGAAAACCGATAGCAAAGTCACCAGATGGCGATGTCCATGATGATGAGTTTTCATTTAGTGCAGTGAGAGATGAGCCTAAAGAAATGTTTTTGGCGGTTTGAGCTAGGGTGGAAAATGGTAGAAACATGAAAAGGACGAAGAAGAGAAGATTTATCAGTGGACAAGCCATGGGAAAATTACAAAGGTGACGAAAAATTTCAAATAAATTATATTTTCTGTGTCAATCACTTGCAATTTTTTATTTCATCTTCTTCAAGTATGAAATAACAAACTTGGATGCTGGACGATGATGTGATTTCTTGTGCTTAAATTAGAGGATCAAACCGCAACAAAGTCAACAATGAGCTCATTTTCGTCAATGGTTCAATTGACTTTGATTCCAAGTCTTTTTTTGGATTCTTCACGGGCATTACTTGGAAACTGTTTACTTTGACTCTTCAAGATGTACTTTGTTCAATTCTGCATGGCGTGTAAGATAATTTAGTTTTCTGAGTATTCTAAGATGCATGGATGAAAGTTCAAGACAGTGATAAAACATTTTAAATGAAAATTGTTACGGATTTGAAGAAATCAACTTACTTATAAGCCAAACTTACTAATAAAACAATCAATTGGTAACATAAGAAGTAATCTGACATTCACAACACAATTTATCATGTGTGACGAATTTTAAAATCAAACACTAATATTGGATGCGCATACACGATGGGACCTCAAATTTCAACATGCACAATTACTCTTTCAACAAAAACAATATGGACTCTCTGAATTCTGAACTACAAGGTTCAAGATTTTGAGTTTTCTTTGATCATGATAGCAAAGAAACAAACACTTAAATTATTGAACTCATAATGACGATGGATTCGGTGGAACTGAAACTTCAACAGTTCCTTCTGGCATCTGCGTGACTTTCTTCATCGTCGGTCTCAGTGACGGGTCCTCTGAATGTACCACATTGCAATTATCACGTAATTCTCCATCATCTTGACGTCTTCCATTGCCTCACCGTCCTTGTCCAATTGCAAATTCAGCTTCTTTTGCATACAGAAATCATATGCCCAACAAGCTAGTATCAGCTGATCTACATTATCCACATGTTCATCAAAATTATTCCTCCAACAAATAATTTTTAGTAACAAAATGCCATCGCTATAAACATCTACCTTCACTGGGATAGGCATGTTTTTTAACCTATGAGGATGTGAAGGTAAAAAAAATCTCACATTAGTGAAAGGATAAACCTTGCCACGTCATCACTTAACGGTTTATTTAACAGATTTTCTAACGGATGTATAAAATTGAAATAAAATGATAAGTAAATGTATGAAATTGAAATGTTTTAAAAATGTTGTAAGGAATTGAAATTGACCCCAAACCTGAAGGGGTAAAATGTAATTTACCCTTAACTTTAATATATATACCAAATTTGGTTTCAACTCTTGCTTTTGGATTTATCGATCCGCTGGTGGAGGTTGCTTGCAAGTCTTTCAATCTTATATATAGGGAATTGCTGAATGCCAAAATACCCCATTTATCCCCCCACCCCAAACACCACCCAACCCAAGCCAAAACATTGGGCTAAAAGTCAAATGCTAAAACTGGGTTAAATACCCCCCAGGTTCCCCCCACACACGCATGGACTTGCCTAAAATAGGTCCAGTCTCGGCCCGCTCACTCGCCGACCTGCCTCACGCAGCCCACGTGCCTTCATCGCCCGACAACGGGGGGCCCACTGTCAGGGCCGCTGTGGGCCACATCCCCGTGCCCAATGGCTCTTTTTCACATCCAACGACAAGAATTTAAGGACCGTTGGTTGATCCAACAGTCCAGAATCATTTTTTTTTAAATGTTATTTTAAAATACATTGAATCCAACAGCTGAGATCAAATATAATCAAATCTAACGATAAAAAAAAGATCTAACAACCCAAATTTAAATCCAAATACTAAAATAATTAAAAAAAATTATTTAATTGAAAATTCACCAAAAAACTCTATAAATACCTATGTATTTGTTCAAACATCTATACAAAACTCAATTTTCTCCTACAATTCTTCCAATTTATCTTTCTACCATTTCTTTCCATTTCCAAATTGTTCAACATGGCAAGAGAGCATATTAGAGGTCATAATTGGATCTATGAGGAAGATGTTGCGTTATGCTTGTCATGGGTTTCTATTAGCGAAGATGATGCAGTTGACACAAATAAAAAAAAAAAAAGGTTTTGTGGGATAAAATCTTTGCAAAGTTTCAAGAAAACTGCAACGGCGGTGAGAGGGACGGTAGTGGTGTTTACGATCGATGGAAGACTATCAACAAAACATGCACTTTATGGAAGGGAAGTTTGGAGGGAGCCGTGGTTGGCATGGCTAGTGGAAGGAGCGCCGCAGAAGTTGTGAGGCTTTTTTCTTGATATTTTATTTGTCATGTACATAATATTATTTTGCAACTAATTGTTTTTATGTATTTTTTGCATAGGGTGACAAAAGCAATGGAAATTTATAAGACGAGAGCAAAACCAAATAATCAAGTTTTTAAGTTGCAACAGGCTTGGGACGTCTTCAAGGATTGTTCGAGGTGGGGAACAGATGCAGACCAACAATGGGGAAGATTATTTCAACGTGAAGTTGCACCGACAAATGCTGGAGATAAAGGTGTCAATGAAGATGTTGCCGAAATAACCCCAACTCCTTCTTTTGCAAGGCCCCCAGAAAGAGATAAGCAAAAGGAAGCAAAGAGAAAAGGGAAGTCCCAAGATCCTTCGAGTGGACACATTGCTACAGGAATTACAAAATTGAGTGAAACCCATTGTCACATCCCGGCCTGGGCCCTCACCGCCGTAGCACAATATTGTCCGATTTGGGCCCCAACTACGCCCTCACAGTTTTGTTTCTGGGAACTCACATGAGAACTTCCCAGTGGGTCACCAATCTTGGGATTGCTCTCGCACGAACTCGCTTAACTTCGGAGTTCCGATGGAACCTGAAGCTAATGAGTTCTCAAAAAGCTTCATACTAGGTAGAGATGAGAATATACATATAAGGCTTACATGATCCACTCCCCTGGGTGATGTGAGATGTAACAAGGCATGGGCCCCCACCACATCCCGTACTTGACTCCATTGTAGCATGATATTGTCCACTTTGGGCCCCGACCATGCTCTCACGGTTTGGTTTTTGGGAACTCACACGAGAACTTCCCAGTGGGTCACCTATCCTGGGTTGCTCTCGCGCGAACTCGCTTAACTTCAGAGTTCCGATGGAACCCGAAACCAGTGAGTTCTCAAAAGGCCTCATGCTTGGTAGAGATGGGAACATACATATAAGGCTTACATAATCCACTCCCTTAGGAGATGTGGGATGTAACACCCATAGCGCTCACCACGAAGAAGCGGCCTGAATGCGTTTGTAAATGAAGGAAGAAGGGGATAGGGAGCAAGAGAGGTTCGAAATAAATTTGATGATGGAGGACCTCAACATATACACTTCAGAGAGGAAGAAGTACTTACATGGTAAGCAAAGGGAAATTTTGCAAAGGGATGTCAGAAGGAGTATATTTTAAGATGATAATTCATCTGAAGGCTATATCCCAAGTCCACCATCACAAAATCAAGATGGTGGATATCATTATTAAGTTTATGAATTTTCGATTGTATTAATTTTATGTGGTTCATGAATTGTCGTTTGTATTAAGTTTATGTACTTTATTAATTGTTGTGTGTATTAATTATTGTTTCTATTAATCTAGATGCCTTCAATAATTATTGTACTTATTATTTGACACTTTGATGTAGAGTAGATGCCTTCAATAATTCAACTTCCATTCAATAATTTATCCAACATACTACACAAAATATTTTGCACAAGAAGCCACTTAAATGTATTACTAGAAAATACGAACATAGTACACTTAAAATTATTACATAAATGCTCAACAACATCATCAACGTTCACCTTCTCGACGCCATACATGCTCAACCAAATCCTTGCGGAATGTGTTATGACCTTGAGGAGCTTGAATTTTATTTAAACGTCTCATATACTCACTCAATGTGACCCTATCCTATTGGGTCTCATATGTGGTTTTAGCAAGATATTCAACATCTCTTGCAATAGCTTTCGCATGTGTTTGTTGGTCATCATCCACATCTTCGTTTGAATTTTCTTCAATTTCGATGTACTCATCTTCGACAATTGTGTTCAATATGTTATCAAAAAGCTCTCTTCTCATCCGAAACCGCCTCCGAAAATCATGAGAAAGAAATCTTGGACGCTCGATGAAATAATCTTTCATCATTCGGTCATGACACTTTTCTCTATCACGTTGCACAAACGAACACCCATGATAGAACCACGATGGCTAGATTCGGCATGGTGCTAATATTGCATAAGCGAGTTTGCAAGTTCAGCTTCGGCGTTGATCATTTCAGCATCCTCAATGTCAAACCTTGCTTGGTATTGTGCCATCTGCATTGCCCTGCTACGCTTTCTTCTATCACCCATTGATGAGATATTGAGGACTTTTAGGAAACAAAAACACTTTGAAAGTTGAGAGATTGGTGAATATAGAGGATGATTGAAGGTTGAAAGATTGGGTGATCAACTGATATTGGACCTGTGTTTATATAGAGGATGAAAGTTGAACGGTTGGTGAAAGTTGAAAGTTTGGTGAAAGTTGAACGGTTGGTGAAAGTTAAAAATTTGCTGAAAGTTGAAAGATTGGTGAAAGTTGAAGGCTTGCTTTGTGGAAATATTTAGTGATTTTTCAATATTTATCAGAATTTAAATATTTTTAGATTAAAATGTTCATAAAATTAATTTACGATAGTTTACATAATTTTTTTCTTAAAAAAGTTAAATTAAGAAAAAAAATTAGTCTAAGTTCATTCTTTAATAATCCCGGGCTAAAATTTTAGGTCAAAATGGTTGGAGCAGAAAAACTGTTTCTGGACTAAAAACCAAATTTTCTGAGCTAAAAAATTTGGCTTTTAGCCTAAGGGTTGGAGATAGTCTAAGCGTTATGTCTTTGATTATTTTGTTTACTTGTGCATGCCACAATATGCTTTGAGTCTTCAAGTGATAAAAGTTTACATGAGTAGTTTTTAGATCAAGTGCCGCTATTAATTACTCTCTGTCATACCCATCGTAAAAGTTCGAGACAATAACAAATCATTTTACTCTTTTAGTCAAGGATAAAAATTAAGAAATAAATAACTAGCAATTAAGTAATAAGGTGCTTATGACGATTTATACCTAGTAT